AGATCTCTGTACTAGTTACCACACTCGCCAGCTGTCTGTACAAACTGTGGGATCAGGAAAGCCCGTGTGTGGTCCTATGAGGGGTGACATGGTCAGGGTGATGTTGCTCTGCTCACCCTTTGTGTGCAGCCTGTCTCAGTTCTACAGTTTGAGTTCTGCGATGTCCACAAGGGCATTCCCATCTGTGACTAGTACCTCACTGAATTTCTGTAGGGGGCAACAAAGCTGGAGAATTCCTGTACTGCCACCTTGCTGATGTCAGTCTCTCCTCCAGTTTCCTTAATCGGAGGAACACAAAAATCTTTAAAAGAATGGTCTTTTTTTTTTTGGTACCAGGGATTGAACTCAGGACCTTGCCCTTGAGAGACAGGCACGGTGTCACTGAGGTAAATCCCCCGCCTGAGAATGGACATTTTTTTTTTGGTACCGGGGATCGAACTTGGGACCTTGCGCTTGCGAGTCAGGGGCCGGAACCACTGAGCTAAATCCCTGGCCCCAAGAATGGACATTTTTATGCATGATACTGGAATGATTTCACCACAACCTCCTAATCGCTGTAATTTTTGTTATTATTATGCCATTTGTACTTTATTTGTAAAACACAAGGGAAGTAGGACATCAAACATATTTTGGTAAAGAGTCTCTTATAGATCTTTGTGTATACCTTTGATTATTTCCTTGCAGTGGATTCCTATCATTAGAAACAGTATTAGTCTTCTTTCAGTTACAAATGATAGGAACTCACTGCAGACTCTGAACGGAGAAGTTTCGCGGGGAGGAAACTTGAGGCTGGGTTGGACCTGGGTTTTAAGCTGGTGGCCTCAGGATTCTCTCTTGGCTCTGCCTACTTTCATTTGCTATTTTTCTTTGGCTGATAGGTTTTCTTCCCATGTTGGAAAAGGTAGTTTGATTTATGTTCTTTCAGGTTAAGACTTCATCTAAGAAGCCTTGGGGCTGGTGATGGACAGTCCCAACTGGGCCACATGCACATGGCGGAGCTGGGCACCAGGTACACCACAGGGACAGCTCTGGGTCACGCAACTGTCCTTGAGACAGGAAGTGGGTGGGGTTGGTTGGGGTGAGCTTCAGCCAATCCTCCTTGTTAAAAATGAAGGTTTTTGAAAAGAAAAGGTGAATCTTCTGCAGAGGAGGGGTGTTGGACAGGCTGCAGTGACAGCTGTCCAGGGTGATAAGTTCAAGGGTTCCATACCTGCTGTTGCCTTGATCTCTGGGTCAGCTGGAGTGGACGATGCTAGGGACAGTGTGCTTAATAGGAAAAGCTGACTGCTGCTGGCTAGACCTGGACCAAAAGGTTGCATTTTTTTCTTTTTATCTTTTATATTGACACAAAGGTTTTCACTAATGGCTTCCTTAAATGGAAATAAGGCAACCAGGAAATCATGGATTTTTAGGAAGACTGATGATTAAAATTATCTTCCTGAAATGCATTGAAGGCAGCTGCTCTGCATTAAAACCTACATTCCACGGCCAACTCTCAGAAGCCAGAGCTTCTTTAGCTTCTTTAGTACTAGAAGTCTAAGTACTTTCTTTAATGTGCGTGTGGGTCATCCAAGAACCCTGTCAAATGCAGCTTCCCATTCAGTAGGTTTGCAGCATGGTCTAATACTCTTTTTAACATATTCCCAGGTAATGCCTTTCTAGTTAGCAAGATATTAGACCAGTAGCTCCTAATCTTTAAGCAAAATGAAACAAAAAAATTGTACCCTCCTCAAGATAGGAATTGCACTTTTGGTATCCGCTAGTTGAGAAATCACACTGTAAACTGCCATGCAGTCAGAATAACTTTTAGGTCAACTTGTACTTCTATAGTCATAACAATATGTGCGAGGTCCTGAGTTTGATCCCCAGGACCACACACACACACCTTAAAGATTAGGCATGTAGGGCTGGGGATTTAGCTCAGTGGTTCTGTTGCCTGCCTTGCAGGTGCAAGGACCTGAGTTTGATCCCTGGTACCAAAAAAAAAAAAAAAGATGAGGCATGTAGCTCAGAGTTAGAATGGTTGTCTCAAATGCACAAGGTCCTGGGTTCATCCCAAGAACTGCAAAAAGTAAATAAAATAAATATAAATATAATTATGACAACGTCTGCCTACATTTTGGCACCTTTTGACAAAATACTACAGGGCTGGGTGTTAAAATTCAGTATTTAATCGCAAGTGATGCAGCCTATTTCTTGCTCATCCTTAAAAGCACTCTGGGAGGGTGAAGCACAGGGATTGCAAATTCAAGCCCAGTCTGGGCAGTTAGCAATTTAGCAAGACTCTATCTCAAAAGAGGAGGGGGTGGTGCAGAAGATGTAACTCAGTGTGAAGGCCCTGGGTTCAATCCCTAGTACAACAACAAACAGAACAAAAGGCAGACCAATTTCAGCGTCTTCACTGGAATGGATGCGAGAACGCTCTCCAGAGCAGGTACCACCTGAGAAACATTTGGAGTCTCAAATGTTTGACTTCATTTTGTTACTTCTTCAGTATGTTCCAGTGAAGAAATTGTAGGTACTAAGCTTTGCAAACTATAGCATTCAGGCTTTTTGTGGCTTTTGTTTAGTCTTCTAAGCGTATAACATCTTCTCTCCTGCAGTGTCTGAATGTCATGCATAACACCCAACCAGGCACTTCCAAAATCTTTAGCGTCAGGTAACGTGCTCCCAACTGAAGAAGAGCAAGGAAACTGGCCCGCTGTCCTTCTCCTTTGGTCACGATTTCTACCACATTATGTTCTGTTGTGCTACCTTACTTCCTGAACACGTGCCTAAAGAATGTGTACAAAACACTGTAAGGAATAGGCTGCATAATTTGCAGGTACATGTCAAAACAAGAACGTGAGACACCTGTTAGTCATAAAGAATGAAATTGTGTCGTTTGCAGGAAAATGGATGGAACTAGGAACCCATCATGTTAAGGGAAATTAACCAGCCTCAGAAAGTTAAATGTCACATGCTTTCTCTTATGTGAGAAACCAAACAAATAAATAAATAAAATAAAACAAATGAGATATGATGGGAAACCAGGAGGGAAACTTTTGCAGATGGGGAAGGGGATCCGTGGAAGAAGGTAGGAATGGGTGAGGGGGTAGTGGGATTAAAATGATCGAGATTATAGTCAGTGGATGTACTGACTTCCCAAAACAAAATCCCCATTCTGTAATACTAATATGCATCAAACAAACAAACAGAAGTAACTGTGCATCACACACACAAACCTGGGCCTCTGCTAAGCACAGGACTCTGTGTCATGGCATAGACTGTGTGTTCTAAAGCTGGCCTTGTGTGTGTTTGTGATTTTTGAACCAGTTGGTTTCTTTTTGTTTTTTCTACTGATGGCCACTGTGGGGTACTGCCTTTTTGTGTGGTGTGTGTGGTGTTTTGAGATAGGGTCTCGCTGGCCCTGTAGTTCATTCACGCTGGACTTGAACTCACTGTGTAGCCCAGCTGGCCTCAGGCTCATGCCTCAGCTTCCAAAGTGCTGGGATTACAGGCGTGTGACATCACACTCAGCTACAAATATTTCTTCAATCAGATTATCCAACAGAGAATCCTGTTTTAATTCATCATTAATTCACTGTGGTGTTAGTTTAAGAGAGGCTTTGGTTGTTTGCCTGTTCACATGCCTGCTTACAAGACAAGAAATAGCACATTTAAAACCACTTCTTTTGTGCACAACAATATAATTTGGGAAAATTTTCTTTAAGAACCCATTTTTCCAGAAGTAATATTGTCCCTAGTATTCATAGTATGGTCAACTCTCAAAATTTGAGAGTTAAAGCATTGACTATTAGGCAACAAATTAGAGAAATAATCTGGATAACAGTTTTTTAGCCTCCATAAACTGACCACGTAACAGACAGTAGTGTGCTTGGTTCATTTCTGTATTCTATGATATTAGAAGTTTGATCAGTGAGATTAGACTGTTGAATATCTTGTTTTTCTCTAAAATCTTTTCTTGCAGAGTCCTAGTGTTTTTTGTTCTATCTAGACTGAATGGTGACTTACTATTGAGTTTATAGCCTGTTTATTTTGAATTTCTCTTCATGACAACTTCAGGTGGTAAAGTTAACATTCTGCTTTTAATCCATCTTCATAAGATGTAAAGAATTTGCAAAATGGAATTTTTCTTTACAGATTCATGTGTTTTTTGGAATTAAATAGTTAAAACTTCAATACAATTCTTTTTTGGTTTTTTTTTGGTACCGGGGATTGAACTCGGGTCCTTGAGCTTGCGCAGCAGTTGGCAAAACCATTGAGCTAAATCCCCGGCCCCAAACAATTTTTATAAAACACAGAAGTGATAGAAGCCCTGCAAGTGTGCATTAATAAAAATTTTAAAATATTTTAAGAAGAGAATCTTAACTTACTCTTCTT